ATCTGTCGTTTGAGATAATACCATTTGCGTATTAGATAATACCCATTTGCGCGCCCTAAGGGAGGCTCAAATAATAGATTTTTTGATTTGCTGGCAAAAATTTCCGTGAAAAATATCCTGAAGTATAGGCTACTTAAACTGCCAAATATGTCCGCGTATCCATATATGGAAGCATTATTACGTCAAAGTGGATGCTTTTAAAGAAAACTTTGCAAAATTCTCCAAATTTTCTCTTCTCTCTCGCTTGCTTTCTTTACGTGGCATACTCTGTTCTTGTGATAGATCTAACTTCGCTTGATCCAACAAATTCAATTTGTGCAAAAATGTGATTTTCAATCAGAAAATCTGCAAATGAACAGAACTTTCGGAACAATCTAGTATTCGACCAACCAGAAACTTTACCTATTTTGAATACAAGGAAATAGCTACAACTTGGGAGACGTTCAATCCTAAATTTATTTCTTATCAAAAGGTCTCTCTTAACTTCTTCAACAACTGTAGCATTGCTTTTCACCGTCATCCTTTTTCCTGTAAATTTTCCGTTTTTCAATTCTGCGCTCCAAATATCACAATAGACTCTCGCCGGTAGTGTTGTTTGGAACGTGCTAGATGTGGTATATGGTCATCAGCTAATGACTACGTCACTAGATTCTTAAACCTTTCCCAATCATCTTCATCTTCATTCGTAGCAAAAAATCCCTTGCCTTTGCGCGCAAAAGCAAACGCTTTCCAATAGGTAACCACCTCATATACCAATACTGAATCGTTGAGTTTTTGAAAGCAATTTTAATTATTGGAAAGCAACTTTAATTACTTCAAATTTCGCTTCTTCCACAGTCTATCGCCACTCGACCATTCCCCTAAATGTGCATCCTTTTTTGGTCTATATGATTGCAGAAGATTTATTGGATTACTTTAACGCAATAAGTTTCATGCTTCTTGAGTTGTGGTAGTCTTTGAGGTAACATTTAATGGAACAAGGCTCCAAAGACGAGACATTCAATACTCAAACACTCACAATGAAATTGACCCAGCTAGGGTGTGAGACCAAAAATTGAGAAGCTCTGGATGAACATCCGGAGAAATCAAAATGGTCTAAAAAATCCTGCAGACCTGTGTGCTCTCCGACAGACAAATAGTTATGTTATGTACTGTTCATATGTCAGTTGTTGTTTCCATTGCTTGAAAGCGAGAAAAAGATTGAAAGTTACCTTTGATCCAATTGGCGGCTGGAAGACGGGCTTTGTGACCTAATTAGGGCTAGGCAATGATCAGAGAGGACGCTCGCGAGAGAGACGCAGACTGCGTTGTGAGGGCGAGTGGTCGCCTTCCAGCTGACAAACCCGTTAAACCAAAGGGGTAGAACTTCAAGATTTTCTTATGCAGATGTGCTTTCTAAACACTTAAACATTACATGTATAAAACATTGGTAGGAAGGTGTGTCATTTCTTTGCGATTATTTAAGGTAAGTATAGGGCAAACTGCTAGGATTTGAGTACTGTAACAAAGGCAAAGGGTTTGCGCGTTGTGTGTTCCATGTCGACGAAATTATGAAGCGGTCTCTCAATGAAAGAGCTTACAGTACTCTAAAGACTTGCATGGCCTGTAAAAAGTGCATTCTATTTTGAGATGCACATGAAGAATTTCTACAAATTTTAGCATCGGTCTTAGCGATAAATTCGCTTCGCATCTACGTGGCAATTCATACAGATACAGCAAGATTCTAGATAACACACAAGATTCCGCTAGATTGTGTCATCTAATACTGGGTGGTGTCTGTCACTGATAAGAGCAAAAAAAAACTATCTCCAGGCTTTACTTGATAAGATTATATTCTATTTTTTATGCTAATCCCATTTTAGATATATAATCCGGCACTCATCTTTATAGGCGTAACACCCCTCTTGTGCTTATAAGGGAATGGTCAGAAGTCGAAGCGACCAAACGAAACGAGCTGTATCAGGTTGCTGCATAAGTTCTGTCCGATTTTTTCTGCCTTATGTTTGAAACAGCTGTTCTAAGAAAATTTCATCTCTGAAGGTATTATTAGTATCATTAAAAAGTGCATTTCTTGCGCTTTCTAAGGCGTATCAAATTTCAATAAGTTTAGTGTAAGGAGATTTCAGGCCAAAAATGTCCAAGTGACAGAGGTACGTTCTCACCCTAGAAATATGTTCCTGCAAGGAAATCTCCACAATGCTCCCTTTAGGTCAAGTTTTTCAATTGGTTGCGAAATAATGGTAAAATAGGCTAGCATAAGCATAAGTTCAGTTTCATGAAGAAAACGTCCAGCTGTAAAATTTATTGTCAAACAGTAATTTTCTGCATAGATGTTTTACAAGCTATAACTTTTTTGCGAATAGAAGTAATCGGCAACTTCAAAGTTGAAGGTGCTAGTGTAAAGCAATGGCTAGCAGAGACCATCCACCAACTTCTTTTCGGCGCTCAAGTCAATTGTAAAATTTTCATAATTCGTAAATAGGCAGGCACACATGCACTGAGACGAAGTCAAAAAGTGGCTTCTTTTTTCCTCGGTCAATAAAATCTCTCGGCAACGCAGACCCTATGGGCTCTTTCATGTCGCAAAATAATCCACGAAAATATCTCTATCCATCCACTGGTAGACAAGGTGCCTATCAATTCTCATAAAAGAACAAATTTGCACCCGACGAATCTTTTAAGGTTCCTTTTAGTACTATTAGGTTGTTCAGAAAATCCCTACAAAGCTCCAGCTTGCTCATAAAAATTGCCCACTATATCAAACACTCATATGCACCGTTGCTGTATTTTTTCCTCATCTAGAAATCGAGAAAAGGAAAATTTTTTAGTTTTTAAAAAAACGAAGCTATGTTGTTCCTATCTGTGTAGCTGTATACTACAAGCCATTAGCAGTATAACCGTGAATTTTTAGCTTCCCAGAAGCCCTAGTTTTCGAAAAATACCAAATTTAGTTTCTCTCACTTGGGTTTTCAAGGCTAAATTGGGTATTTTTCGAAAACTAGGGCTTCTGGGAAGCTGAAAATTCACGGTTATACTTCTAAGGGCTTGTAGTATACAGCTACATGGATAGAAACAGCATAGCTTCGTTTTTGTAAAAAGTAAAAAATTTTCCTTTTCTCGAGTTCTAGATGAGGAAGAAATACAGCAATGGTGCATATGATTGTTTGATATAGTGGGCAATTTTTATGAGCAAGTTGGAGATTCGTAGGGATTTTCTGAACAGAGATATGAATTTTTAGCGATTTTTGAGCCTTCACTGCGACTCAGATTTTATATGCAAAGTTACGGTGGATCGGAGCTGGTGCGAACTTTTGCATACCACCTTGTAGAGCTTGCTTTGCTCTATCGAATGGTACCCTGTAGCCCTGTAAAGAATATGAGGTGCATGAGTTATCGTTCTTAGAAGTTAAGTGTAACAAGACTTATTTAACAGCCTAATACTTATTCTTTTGAGTACTTTAAGGTCATCAATTTTCGTATTGCGTAATATGAGGTAACTAAGAGAAATTTGCACGAGAGGAATTGTAATGTTATTGCATCCTTATTATCTTAAACGACAGATAATAAGGATGTTTTGCTTTATAGAACTGTAATAATAAAGGGTGCGCCAGATTTAGCGGAGTATTTTTGAGTGTAAAACGATACAATTTATGCTCCATAAAGGATCAAGCGTAAATTAGTTTTCATCAGTCCTCATCACCGTTGTTTTTTCAAATCACTTTCAAAACAACCAAATCGATCTTAATTGAATTCTTTTCTATATGTCTTCTGCAAGAATTCAAAAAAATTATTTTTGCTTTTCTTAGAGCTACACGTTCAATCCTTTACTTATTTTCTTACATCCTTGGAGAGTTCAAATTTCTTACAAGGGAACGATACTCAATGTCCGTGGCCTTTTGAGACGAGATGTATACCATTATTCTCGTCTTCGAACGCTGATTCCGAATATGACTTCCGTTTCTGCTAATCGTTTCTCTGAGAAAAGTTATGGAGGAATTTCGAACCAAGTTTGGCGGCCCAAGTGAAATATGGTCACTAAACGATCCCTAACGCAGCCGCGTTCTGGTCTAGTGGTGTGCGACAGCCTCTTACGTTGGTGCAGGTGTAGGTTCAAATAATCTTGTGTTTTTACTTTTCCATTGCCTCAGATAAGCTCGTGAGAATTTACTCGAATTGTGATCATTGGATGCATTTTAGCGAGAACAATAATTATTTTTTCCAAACTTCCACATTTTTTGAAGAGTGAGGGCGTTGACTTAGCTCGATGATGCGAAAGAAAGTTTATTGAAGCAGTGCAAAACTAAAAAACGCCAAAGGATTCGTACTTACACTTGCATCAACTCATGAGGCTATCGCACTAACCACTAGACCACACCCCACCGTTTGTGGATGCGCTCTCTCATCAAATTTCACTGGGCAGCCATACTCTGCGCGATCCATCATAACATATTTGAAGCGATTAGCAGAAACGGAAGTCAGATTCGGAACCAGCGTTCCAAGACAAGTGTAATGGTATACGTCTCATCTCAAAAGGCCACGGACACCGAGTATCGTTTCCTTGTTAGCGGTCTTTGTGGCACTTTTGCAAAGCTGGAGACTGTAATCTTATCGCACACAGTGTAGTTAGAAAATGTCATTCATTCTTGATGGCGAGCATCGAGAAAAATGGCAACTCAAATTCCTTGTCTGTTTTTTGTACGAAGTCAGCGAATGATCATGGTAGCTGCTTATGTCTATCTGACACTAATCCCTTTAACGGTTTGACAGCTCGACTATGACTTCTGACAAGAAGGGAGCGCATATAAGGGCAGGAGTACAGAATTGCCATGGGAATACTTCCTTCCTCCATATTTTTGCCGCTCGAAGTTCACGAACGAGCGAAACTATAATAAAATCTTGTTTTGCTGTACCATTAAAAACAGGACTTTTCTCCATGTTTGACTAGTCTGTAGCTTTGCAATGAGTATTTTCGCTGAAAAATTCATTTACAAATTCCAGACATGGGTAAAATTTTACTGATATCATGTCTCTTCGCGCTAGCCACGGCTGATCCGTAAGTATTCCCGCCCCAATGTTAATGGACGCTTAAAAAAATATATCTCAGATATGAATATCCCAACACCTTGCCAGATCGTCAAGTAATGGTGCACTTGTTCGAGTGGAAATGGAAGGATATCGCTGCAGAATGTGAAAATTTCTTGCAGTATTATGGATACGGAGCCGTACAGGTAAAGAGAAGTCGGCGCACGCACAAAGTGAACGCAGTTTCGTCCGCCTGTAGGTGTTAAGTTTGAAGAGGCAAGAGGTAAGAGAGGTGAGAGCGCGCTAAATCTGAGTGACCGCAGAAGGCGCCTTGTCTCTGCGTGCGATGACTCGCCTAAATAAAAATGAACTACTGCGATGTACTCCATTCATTGCAGGTCTCACCACCTATGGAACACATAACACTGATTCAAAATAATGACATGCCTTGGTGGGTCAGGTAGGTTTTCATCCTGCTGACACTTTACATTCTTGGAAAACGTTTATTTGCGCAGATACCAGCCAGTCAGTTACAAACTTATCTCACGTAGTGGTAACGAGGAAGAGTTCAAAGATATGGTTGACCGATGTAACAAAGTTGGAGTGAGGTAAACATGTCGTTCCACGTGTGTTTGGTTACCCAAGTCGATCTCGTCACTTTTAGAATCGTTGTTGATACTGTCATCAATCACATGACCGGAGCTGGACAGAAAAAAGGAGTCGACAGAGATAGCAGCGGCGGTTCATTCTTTGATGCAACGGAGGGAGTAGAAAGCTTCCCAGAGGTGAGGACAAAGGGTTGAAGGTTCAGAATATTAGAATGGAAATCAAATCGAAAAAATTGGAGGAAAGGGTCTAAGGCCCGTATGCACTAACATTTCTGCGGCGAGGGGAGCGGCGTCCCCCGTTATGAAGGGACCGCGTGCGGACGCCGCTGCGGCTTTTTCATCATTGGGGACGCCGCTCTCCTCGCCGCAGGGATGTTAGTGCATGCGGCCCTAAGAGAAGGATTCAAATCCCTAACGCTTCCGTGATTGGAACTGTGTATGAACATAGTAACATTTCAGGTCCCATATTCTCAGGAAGACTTCAACGATTACAGATGTAAAGGAGGCATTGGATCTGGAGATTACAGTAACAATCCAGATAGGGTGAGTTTATTTATTTCGAATACTTTCTAAGGAGATGGGGTCAAAACATAAAGGACGAAATGACCCGTTTAGGTAAGAAATTGTCGACTTGTTGGACTGCTTGACTTAGACCAGAGTAAATCATATGTACAAGGCAAGATCATTGGATATCTCAACCATCTCATAGATCTCGGTGTGGCCGGATTCAGGTTACTTGATTCTACATCGAGTTATCTGGTGCTAACTAGTTTCGTTCTTATATTTCAGGGTTGACGCCTCAAAACATATGTGGCCTAAAGAGTTGAAGGCTATTATGGATGGAACCAAAAACTTGAGAGAAGATGTGGGTTACCGTAACGGCTGAGATACGATAAGAGTATGATACAAAAACTTTAGATCTTTGGCGCCAATAAGCGGGCATTCTTTGCCCATGAAGTCATCGACAGAGGTGGTGAAGCAGTCACGGTTGCAGAGTACGCACCCCTCGGAAGGTAAATTTACCCGATAGCGAATTGATATCTTCTGGGCTGCATTCAAAGTGCTTCTGTGCTGGTGCTAGGCCAGCGCCGTGGCAACGCTTACGTGGCACAGCGCTAGCACGGGAGAAGTCTGGACGGCTTCAAGAAAGAATCAGTGGGAGAAACATCAAATTCATCGCATCGATCAACTGACGCGGCACTGACATGGTGCAAGCACGGGAAAATTTTGGACAAAGTTTCAAGAAAAGATTTTGGGCGAAACATCAAGTTTAGAGAAAAGCATAGGAGCCGAAAAGCCATTCAACAACAACTAAACATTCTATTTACTATTTTTTGTTGTCTAAGGTCTTATACTGATTTGATGCACTGCTAGATAAAACTGGACTACCCCAAGAGGTCTTGAGCGGATACAAGCACACCTCAAATAAAACATTAAACATTTTTTTATGGAAAGATTAACTGACAAAGTATGTACGATTCGAGTGCAGAGATGCAAACAACTGGAGTACATGGACTAAAGCTGAACACGGCTAAAACGGAGTTTATGGAACTAGGACCACAGACAACAGGGACAGTCTAGATTGGAAGCACGTTACTCAAAAAGACAACCTCCTTCAAGCATCTAGGAAGCCGTATCCCGCAGATGGCAGCCTCCAAGATGAGATATGTAGCAGGGTGAATGCAGCTTGGATGAAGTGGAGAAATATCATAGGAGTCCTATGCGATAAACGAATGCAAAAAACTGAGTTCCGTGATATACCGTACAGTATACGACCAACGGCACTATATGGAAGCGAATGCTGGCGATGTGCGAGCGACGATGAGAGAAGTATCATAATGGAGACGCGAATGTTGAGATGGACAGGAGTGACGATGCTTGACTGAAATCCGAATGACACGATACGAAGCGTAATGAAATTCACACCAATCGTGAAGAAGATTCAAGAAAGACGTCTCTGATGGTATGGAGATATAAGGCGAAAAGACGAAGACCACATCACGAGACTGGCCATGCCAGTGGATGTGCCAGGAAAGAGGCGGAGAGTACGCCCTAAGATGCGATGGCTGGATATGGTCAAAGCAGATATGAGAGAATCAACGAAATCAAAAATCAACAAAGACCAAGCTTGAACTGAGAAGAAATGGAGAAGACTAATGAGAGCGAGAGCGGCAGACCCCGCGACAAGGAAATGCATAAAAAAATATGTACGTGGGCGAAGCATTTAACAAAATGGATGCTATAACAATGGTATTTTACTTACAAATAGGTATGATGTAATAGGAGAAGACACAAATGAATGAGATTCATATTGAACTAAATGGGCGAAAGCTGCAAGCATCTAACTCCTTTAAAGGCAGTGGCTCGGCAAATCTCAACCTGTCAAATTCTCACTTACCTGGAGTTATCCAATGCGCTGATTCCGAAAATCCACTATAGAGAACGTGAAGTGGCGAAAACGCGCGTTTTTCAATGCCTTTCGCTTTCAAATTGGACGATTGCGGCAAGGCTGAAGACGCCGAATCGTTGCAGAACCCAATGTTTATAGCATTGCGGCGGGCAGCCTCCAATGGTGAGGGGGGGGGATTGTCAACTCGTACGAGCGCGTGTTAGATCAGCTTGCGCGTGTAAGTTTGAGGGCAATTTCTCAGCAGGGAATTCATGCTGTGCGACCGGGATTGCACTGTTTTCATACTTAGGTGATAACCAACCTATCGCGTCAAAATCCTGAGTTGTTCAGTTTTGCCGATCCACTGCCTTTAACTACACCGCTAGCTAATATGCATGAGACCACATTATCAAGAAAGCTGCGCACAACATCTCAATGATCGCTAAGAAATATGTGGAAATGCGAATTTGCGAATTCCATTGATAGAAGGAAACACTATGAACGATTAAGTTCGCATAATGCCCTCTTTGAAAACAGTTGCCCAGACGTGTCCAAATTGCGATAATAGTTATTCTTCAGGTATATCAACTTCAACTATGGACCAATGGTTACGCAGGCAGCACGAAACCACCGTGATTGGAAGTAAAAGGGCTAATGCTCCAGCACGCAGCTAATGGTACTAATTGTAGTGAAATGGTAAACATTGGACCTGGTTACGGTTACGGTAATGGCGCAAGCAACGATGTTTTGGTTTTTATCGACAATCATGACAATCAGAGACAAGGAGATGTGGTAAGTCATATATGTGTTGGATTCAATTGGCAAATCATAGGGATTTGAGGTAAAGGAAGGCGACGTTAATCCTTCGATTTTGTTAGGCAAGGGACACATCTCACGTAATTTCAGTCGCCACGCGATTTGGCAATTTGCCACATATCTTCAAATTCAATACTGGTAGACCCCAAATGCACACCATGTATAACTTTCGTAAATTGATGAAATGCTTCATCTTCCGTACATTCGGAAACCCCATGATGAGTTATAAACATTTGGAGTGCATTGCCAAATCGCGTCGCGACTGAAATCGCGTGCGGTATGCCCGAGGCCTTATGTGTTTTACTTGCTATTAATTAACTGAATTTGTGGAACAAAGGAGCATTATCTTACAGTTTACTTACAAAGATGGCGAACAGTATAAAATGGCAGTTGCGTTCATGTTGGGTTGGAGCTACGGTTATCCGAGAGTAATGAGCAGCTATTATTTCAAAGATAACAACCGGGGACCTCCTAGTGAGGGTCCTGAAAGTGGATTTAAGGTAACGACACAAGCCGGAAAAACAATGTAAATATTCAAGTTTGTAGACGAAGTCGCCGACGTTCAAGGAAGACCTCACTTGCGACCCGTCCTCCGGATTTGTTTGTGAACATCGATGGCCGGCAATCAGGTTGAATAGCTTTTTAAGATTTTCTTGCGTATTTTACAAAAAATCAATGATACCCTCAGCAACAATCGTGTGAAACCGTTCAAAGAACCTAAAGTTCGAAACTCAACCACTTTTAATCAAACAATAAAGGAATGGACGAAAATGCTTTTAACAAAGTTCACTTTAGAGGAATGGCGAAATGGCGATCGATGGTTGAAGGCAGCGGTACAGAGAATGTACGTTTTCATGCGTTGCGTTTCTCCTTGAACTGTACGGAAAACTACCGTACAACAAAGCAAATTTGAATGAGTGTCTAGACAGAACATTCTGATCACTTTTAAACATTGAATAGCGCATTTCAAACTTGGAAACACTGTTAACCAGTGGGCAGTCTCTGGTCGAACTAAGTCTTCGAAATTTGTTTCAACGTAAAGAAAGCGTAGTCATGACATGTGCGAGCGAAGTACGTGTTACGCGCGGCCATCTGCTAGCCGCAAGGTCTGCGTATATGCACGTCGTCGATCCCGTTGATGATTGCAAAAAACGCGATCAGAGAGGCTCAAAAAACCTGTGCAATCGTTTAAAAGTTGAAGTCTTTAACAAACTCAAGCTAAAAAATGTAAAACTCTTCAAAACAAGATTTGAAAGTGAGCATATGTGTCTTCATAACTGTAGAAGCTCTTCCAAGTCGAAACGCGGTCGATTTATGGCCAACGCGGCTGTGACGGGCTGTGACGCAGCCTTCGACTTGGAAGAGCTTGTAACTACTTCGTCCACAAAATGCAGTGCTTACCTGCTCTCTTCCCAATATTTGGTAACTATCAGAAATCACTTGTGTAACTTTTTCCAACTTGCAGGTAGTCACAGAATGGAGGCGACTTGCTTTCTCTCGCGGTGGTAAAGGATTCTTCGCCATTAACGGACAGGATGATCGCTGGAACACGTACGTTTTCTGTTTTCCTGAATAACCGCGAGCAGTTGCTCATGCCAGCGCTGTGCCAGCGCCGTACCAGCATATTCTTGGCTCTGTGATAGCCCCATGGCAAAATGTCGATCATGACTTATAATAAGCCGCTTATTTGTCGGTCTGTAAGTCTGTCTGTTATGAAAATACAGTGAGGAATGATTTGAATTCTTTGGAGCATGTGAGGTTCTGATGGCGAGTATGGTTCATTTTTAATTAGGACTGTCTCGCCGCAGTCAACCTGGCAATAATCTAAAAGAAAGCCTTCACATTGTAAGTTTACCATCGTTTCTTGATGGCCAATGCGAGCCTCTGCGAAGCAGAGGTGAAGCACTGGTCTATTAATATCGGGCGATTTCACTCCAACACAGCAATCGACCCTAGCACGGCGCTGACACGGCGCTGACACGGCGCTGGCACGGCGTTGGAACGGCCCGCACATCGCAGGCGCACGTACAACTCTAGACCTGCCTTGCTAAAGCAACCCTCTCATGGTGAATGACTTCAGGAACTTCCAAACTTCTCTACCTCAAGGCCAATACTGCGATGTATGGAGCGGATATCTGAAAGATGGACAATGCACTGGAAAGACTATCAATGTTGGCGGTGATGGTAAGGCAATTTATAGGTTTCGCACTAGCATGGTCATAGTTTACCCACTTTAGGTCGTGCCCAGATCGCAGTTGACAAAATTGTGGCTATTTCGCTAGCTTCAAAGATTGGTAGGTCCATACAAGAAATTCAATTTGATTATCAAGTAGCACTTTTGGAGGCTATGAACCGGATCCACCAAAGCCAAAGCCAACCGAGGCTCCACAGCCTAAGCCAACTGAGGCACCACAACCCAAACCAACTCAGGGTCCACAACCTCAGCCCACCTTACCACCAGTTCATTACGATGACCCGTGAATACATGAACATTTGTAAAAATGTGGCAAAATGACTTCTAATCTTTTCAAGATACGATGACCCCAATACCTTGCCGAACCGAGAAGTAATGGTGCACTTGTTCGAATGGAAATGGAAGGATATCGCTGCAGAATGTGAAAACTTCTTACAGTACTTTGGATATGGAGCTGTACAGGTAAATATTGGATTTTGCAGTAAAATAATTTCGTCAAAAAAAGAGTAGTATAAAAAGCTGTGTATCACAGGTCTCTCCACCTATGGAGCACATAACATTGATTCAAAATAATGATATGCCGTGGTGGGTCAGGTAGGTTTTCATACTGTTCACACTCTACATTCCTGAGAAATTTTTTTTTGTGCAGGTACCAGCCAATCAGTTACAAACTGATCTCACGTAGTGGTAACGAGGAAGAATTTAAAGATATGGTTGAGCGATGTAACAAAGTTGGAGTGAGGTAAACATGTCGTTTCACGTGTGTTTAGTTACCCAAATCAATTTCGTCACTCTTAGAATCGTTGTTGATGCTGTCATCAATCACATGTCCGGAGTTGCACAGAAAAAAGGAGTCGCTACCAGAGACAGCAGTGGCGGTTCATTCTTTGATGCAACGGAAGGCGTAGAAAGCTTCCCGGAGGTGAGGAAACATGAGGCAAAGGATGTAGGCCTTTGAAGTATTCGCGCGCGACAAGCATTTCGCGGCATGCGGCGCCGCTGAGAAACTGAACGTGTTGCATCACGCAGCCAACGGAAAGGCACCATATGGTAATAAATACAAATTATCTGTATAACCACCTATTATCAAGTTGACCACGATAGATGTACAGGAGTGAGCGCACAAGCTTGCACGCAACTCGTTCGGTTCCTTTGTTTGCTCCGCCTTGCGCGAAGCCTGACCAGTCGCAGCGAGATGTTGACCAATCAGAGGCGCCGCTGTGGCGAGCGGTTCAAAAAGCCGTTCTGAGGGGTCGGGTTGTAAGAAAGTACAATATCTTTCAACTGTTCAGAAGTATTGAAAATCTGAAGACAGAATATACCCATTCTATGCAGCAATGCTTCAGGTCCCCTATTCTCAGCAAGACTTCAACGATTACAGATGCAAAGGAAACATCGGATCTGGGGATTATGGTGGCAATCCAGCTGGAGTGAGTTTCATCTCAAAAATTTGGGAGGGGGGAAGGAGGGGGGGGGGGAGGGGGAGAAAAGAGGATAGGGAGTATACTTGGGGAAATTCGAAATTTTTTCGAATATTCGAATATCGAATATATTCGAAAATTGAAAATTTCGAATATCCGACTTTCGAATATTATTCGAAAATCGGAAATTTCCAATATTCGACTATCGAATATTATTCGAAAATGAAAATTTCGAATCGAATAATATTCGAATATCGAATATCATTCGTTATTCGAATTTCGAATATTATTCGGTTTTCGAATGTCATTCGATTTTCGAATATCATTCGATTTTCGAATACTGACCGAATAATTTACGTCATTGAGACTGCTTATGAAAGGACAAAACACTAAGAATAAATTGTTTCATGTAAGTGCTAAGAATGAACACATTCTTATGGTACATATTGCGATGGAAAAGCGGTTTAGTTGTGAAGTGAAGAGACTTAGGAACCTAAAAGCTACTCGATGGTTGTGAAGAGATTTTTCGTACTTCAAAGAAGATTATATACCACTGAGAGTTGCGATTGGATAAACAGCGGTCCCAACAGTATATAGATCTGTAGGCCGACATCAACTTAGAGTCTAGGCGATTTATCAATCGCTACCGTAAGACTGAAGCGGGTTTCAAAACAAGAGCCATTTCCAGAAAAAGAATCAAAAGGGCTGAAAGTTTTGCTTTAGTAGAATTTGGACTCAACCGCAATGCTTTTCTCAAAACTTACGCCAGGTATCCTGTGTCCCCAAGAAAAGTTCCCATGTGAGCCAGCTTGCGTACGTGGTGCGACGCTGCCTTTCGCTCTTTTTGACACGTTTCTCCTGAGATTTCAACGGAATTGCCCGAGGTTAACACGTTCAAAATAACGAAAGGCAGCGAGATAACGTGGTACCTATGGGAATCTTGCTGGGGAACAAACGATATACCGTAACAAGTGTTTTTCAACGCCTTTCAGAAATGTGATTGCCATTTGAAAAGCTTGGAAACTCATGCGTAGTAAAATCAGTATATGTAAAAACACTGCTGCACAAATTTTAGACCTTTCTTGGGGACAATTTTTTGGATGTCTTAATTTGCAATTGGTCTATAAGCTGGAGTTTCCTTTTGTGATAACACACAATAAGAAAAACATGGGTGATTCGCTTTCTGCTGTATTTATAAGCTGAAGCCATCCCTACTGGATGTTACTCAATTGGCAAAAGACTTTGAGAGGTACTGGCGATCAAACGGTGTGGATACTTTTTAGACGTCCCGTATACGCTATGCATATCGAATTCTCGAATATTTGGTGCTGTCGAATTTTCGAATAGTCAATTCTTATCGAATTTCCGAATATTCGGTGCTCGACGAATATTCGAATATTTGATGGACATCGAATGATCGAATGAATGACCCTCGAATATTCGACTATCGAATAATATCCGAAAATGAAGATTTTCGAATATTCGACTATCGAATATATTCGAAAACTGAAAATTCCGAATATTCGACTTTCGAATTTTGTTCGAAATCTCAGATTTTCGAATATTCGACTTTTCGAATCATTCGCATTCAAATGATTTATTCGAATAATCGAATAATTATTCGATTCGGTCCCGAGTATAATAGGGAGCATGGCAAAACTTGAGGTTAAAATGACCCTTTTAGGTAAGGAACTGTCGACTCGTTGGACTACTTGACTTGGACCAAAGTAAGACATATGTACAAGGCAAGATCATTGGGTATCTGAACCATCTCATTGATCTTGGTGTGGCTGGATTCAGGTCAGTTGATTGAACTTGAAAAATATCTGCTTCTAATTGAATTAATTATAGTATTTTAGAGTTGACGCTTCGAAACACATGTGGCCAGCAGATTTGAAGGCTATTATGGATGGAACCAAAAATCTGAGAGAAGATGTGAGTTACCGTAACGGCTGAGATACGGTAACAGCATGATACAAAACTTTAGGTCTTTGGCGCCAATAAGCGGGCATTCTTTGCCCATGAAGTCATCGACAGAGGTGGTGAAGCAATCAAGGCGTCAGAATACGTAAACCTTGGAAGGTAATTTTTACGGAATGATTACGGTAAGATAACATTTTGCACTAATCCAAACAATATTTCAGATACTGCAACTTCAACTATGGCCCAGCAGTTTCGCAAGCAGCGAGAGGACATGCCAACATTGAGTAAGCTGTTATTTATCACCTCAAAATGACCGCTACTGTTAAGAAAACAATTTTGAGGGAGCTGACAAATATTGGACCTGGGTACGGTTATGGTAATGCAGAAGGACACGATGTTTTGGTATTTGTTGACAACCATGATAACCAGAGAAGTGGTGGAGGCGTGGTAAGTGAAACAAGATGAAAAGGCGCGGAAGACAATGGAACCATATGAATTTAAATTACTTATGATTGTTTTACAGCTGAGCTACAAAAATGGTGATGAATACAAAAGGGCAGTCGCGTTTATGCTGGGTTGGCAGTACGGTTACCCAAGGGTCATGAGCAGCTACGCGTTTAATCACAATGACCAGGGACCACCAAGTGAAGGCCCTGGAAACGGATTCAAGGTGAGGACGTGAGCTGCATACGCGAGACACCATAAAAGTGCGTGATTGCAGACAAAGTCGCCAACCTTCAATGCAGATTTGACTTGTGCTTCGTCTTCCGGCTATGTTTGCGAGCATCGGTGGCCACAAGTGAGGTAGAGGGACATTTTTTCAGAGGACTTTATTCAGGAGGAATAAAACTGGGATTGTAGTACTATAATATACGTAGCCTCTGTGCTAATGACAGTGTCGCCGGCTCTCGCGGATCGGGCTTCGCGCAGCCGCGTCGCTTGTCCTTGTACCGCGTCTGGGCGCGTATCATCTCCTCACACCTAAGCACGATTGAAGTTTAGAAGGGTGAGAAGCGTGTATTATGCGGCGTATATCATTGCTTTTCTGTAAAATAGACCCAAAGCATATGGGATAATAATTTTTCATTCTAACAGTTCAAAAAAATTTTCGGCATAAATGATCACTTTTTAGGGGAATGGCATTATGGCGATCTACAGTGCAAGGCACAAAACCGTCGGAGGTAACCAATGCTTTCTGATAAAAAAATCATTTATGCAAATATCTTATAGATGGTCAAAGAATACAAGAAATTAGCATTTGCCCACCAAGGAAAAGGATTCTTCGCTATGAGCGTGGAGGGTACTTGGAGCAGGTAAGATTAATGGAGCAGATTTTGTGTGAAATTAGAAATATGCATTCTAGATCCTTCCAAACCACTCTACCATCAGGACAATACTGCGATGTATGGACTGGATATGTGCAAGACGGAAAATGTACAGGAAAGACAATCACAGTTGGAAGTGATGGTAGGTTTAGGAAGAAATCAAGCTGAGCGCACGTAACATTTATTATTTCAGGAAAAGCACAGATTCAATTCACTAATGTCGTTGCAATTTCACTTGCTTCAAGGATTGGTAGGTCCATACAAGAAAACCAACTTGATTATCAAGTAGCACTTTTGGAGGCTACGAACCGGATCCACCAAAGCCAAAGCCAACCGAGACTCCACAGCCTAAGCCAACTGAGGCACCACAACCTAAACCAACTCAGGGTCCACAACCTCAGCCCACCTTCCCACCAGTTCATTACGATGACCCGTGAGTATATGAACATTTGCAAAAATGTAGCAATATGATTTCTAGTCTTTTTTGAGGTACGATGATCCAAATACCTGGTTGAACCGAGAAGTAATGGTACACTTGTTCGAGTGGAAATGGAAGGATATCGCTGCAGAATGTGAAAACTTCTTACAGTACTTCGGGTATGGGGCTGTACAGGTAGGACAGTGGACTTCTGGCATAAAAAACATTTTTTCTATGGAAAATAAGAAATCTTCTGCCGGTGTATTACAGGTTTCACCACCTATGGAACACATAACATTGATTGAAAAAAATGATTTGCCATGGTGGGTTAGGTAAGTCTTCTTTTGCTTGTCACCCTGAATTTTTGACCATTTTTTTGTAGATACCAACCAGTCAGTTACAAACTGATCTCACGTAGTGGTAACGAGGAAGAATTTAAAGATATGGTTGAGCGGTGTAACAAAGTTGGAGTGAGGTGAACAAATTGGTTCTCCTGGTTCAGTTACCCAACTTACCGATTTCGCCACCTTTTAGAATCGTTGTTGATGCTGTTATCAATCACATGGCCGGGGCTGCACAGAAAAAAGGAGTTGCTACCAGAGACAGCAGTGGCGGCTCATTCTTCGATTCAACGGATGGCGTAGAAAGTTTCCCAGAGGTGAGGAAGAGGGGTTGAAGGGACCAGAAGGTCACAATGGATGTAATGTAAAAGTTGAAGTTTACGATAAAGAAAAAAGAAATCAGAAGTAACTCAGATGCTATGTGAAAAAGTGAAAATATTAGATATAAGAATTTTTTAGGTACCATATACTCAAGAAGATTTCAACGACTACAGATGTAAAGGAAACATCGGAAATGGAGATTACAGCAACAATCCAGCTAGGGTGAGTTTTTCACTTCGAGAACTCTTTTTTTTGGGGGGGGGGGGGATGTAGGGGGAGGGGCCAAGGGCAAATTGAGCATGAACTATTTAGGTAAGGAACTGTCGACTCGTTGCACTACTTGACTTGGACCAAAATAAGACATATGTACAAGGCAAGATTATTGGGTATCTGAACCATCTCATTGATCTTGGTGTGGCTGGATTTAGGTAAGCCAATTTCACATGGGTTTATCTGGTCCTGACCGGATCCTATCCTAGGGTTGACCACTCGAAACATATGTGGCCAGAAGATCTGAAAGCCATTATGGATGGCACCAAGAACTTGAGAGAAGATGTGGGTTACGGTAGCGGCTGGGATACGGTTATGGGACAATAATTTTAGATCTTTGGCGCTAATAAGCGACCATTCTTCGCGCATGAGATCATGGACAAAGGAGGGGAAGCAATCAAGTATACAGAATACCTACACATCGGAAGGTAAGTACTACGGTATCACTTCAGCACTAATCCAACCAATTTTCAGGGTCATTAATTTCAACTATGGTCCAATAGTTTCGCAAGCGGCGAGAGGACATGGCAACTGGGAGTAAGCTTTTATTTATCGCCTGAGAATGACCATCAATGTTAGAAAACGATTTTGAGTGAGCTGACGAAGTTTGGGCCCGGATACGGCTACGGTAATGCAGAAGGACACGATGTTTTGGTATTCGTTGATAACCACGACAACCAGAGAAGTGGTGGAGGCGTGGTGAGTAAGATTACTCGGGTCAAAAGCTCACAGGGGACCTAGAGAGCTACGAAAAGCAAAAAAAACGAATTATAAATTTACAGCTAACGTACAAAAATGGTGATCAATACAAAATGGCAGTTGCATTCATGCTGGGCTGGCACTACGGCTACCCAAGGGTCATGAGCAGCTATGCCTTTAACCAAAACGACCAGGGACCTCCAAGTGAAGGCCCTGGAAACGGATTCAAGGTGAGGACGTGAGCTGCATACGCGAGACGCCATAAAAGTGTGTGATTGCAGACAAAGTCGCCAACCTTTAATGCGGATTTGACTTGCGCTTCGTCTTCCGGCTTTGTTTGCGAGCACCGATGGCCACAAGTCAGGTAAAGGGACATTTTTTAGAAGGACTTAAAAGGCACCGGCCACCCAGATTCTCGAGTTCTATGTTTTTGTCGTTTCGGGGGTCTCTCATGCTCCTGACTCGAAATTTGGTATCGAGAATGCGCGAAAACCCCGAAAATACCCTTTCCCGAGAATCCGCAGGCTGGTGGAACGGTGTCTGGATGGGCGCGCACGGTTGGACGGGCATGAATGGAAAGGGCGGTTCCGTTTGGGGTTCTCGTGCATCTTCTTTATACCGGGACAATTTTCTCCTTTCGAAGCGAAATTTTGCGCCGCGACTTGGGCATGGGCTTGATATTGGGCTCTACTATCACATGCTGCCAAAAGCTCAGGACCCTCAACTAGAGTGGACGGTGCCTTAAATGGAAAAAAGAAAGAAACTGATCTTTTAGTTGCCCTGTGCTAATGCAAGTGTCGCCGTCTTGGAATTCAACTTCGCGCGACCGCGTCGCCTATTTGCGCGCCGCGTGTGCGGCGCGTTTGCATTCATGCGCATTTTCTCACGCCTAAGCAATGATTAAACTCGGAGGGAATGGGGCGTGTATATCAAATGGCAAAAATCATTGCATTTCCGCAAAATACGAAAATTACAGCTGAGGACAAGTATCCCAAAGTTTATATAGAATTTAGGCTTATTATGTTAGTTCAAAAAAATTTACCACAAATAAGTGATCAATTTCTTTAGGGGAATGGCACTATGGCGATCTACAGTGTATGGCACAGAACCGTCGGAGGTAACCAATGCTTTTTGATTCAAAAAATTTTTCATGCAGTTATCTTATAGATAGTCCAAGCGTACAAGAAATTAGCCTTTGCTCACCAAGGAAAAGGATTCTTCGCCATAAATGGAGAGGGTACATGGAGCAAGTGAGATTGATCTGGAGCAGACTTTGTGTGGAAATGAAAATGTGCGTTTTAGATCCTTCCAAACCACCTTACCATCAGGACAGTATTGTGATGTATGGACTGGATACGTACAAGACGGCAAATGTACGGGAAAGACCATTACAGTTGGAAGTGATGGTAAGCATACTGGAAAAAGCTGAATTAAGCGTATGTAAATTCTGTTTTTTTAGGAGAAGCTCAGATCGAAGTCAAGGGTGTCGTTGCTATTTCGCTTGCTTCAAAGATCGGTGAGCGAAATAATTTACAAATTTTCTTGAAGAGTTCCGATTCGAGGTAAAATTTTTAGGATCATCACCAGGTCCAGACCCGCCGAAACCACCAACTCAGGCTCCTGGTCCTCAGCCAACACCAGGTCCAGATCCGCCGAAGCCACCAACCCAGGCTCCTGGTCCCCAGCCAACGCCTGACCCTCGTGGTTTCACAAAAACTGTAATTTTACTCAAAAGAGACACTGCTATGGGACAATATGTGTTCATCCGTGGAGGAACAAGCCATATGAATAATGGAGGTGAAAATACACTTACTTCATCGTAAAAATGCTCGAATGCGAATGTGAACATCAATTTAGCATGCGCACGTGGTCCATATCAGCAGGCAAACGATAAATGTGCCATTCCAATCAAGCACAACACGCAAGTGCCAAGCAACTTCCTAGAATATCAGGCTTGGAGCCAAGGCGACACTTACCTAGATTTCGAGGGACCTGAAAATGGCCAACGTAGGAACCATAAAGTTTAGTAAACCTGTGTTATAAACATGCAGTTCAGAATCATTCAATGGTAAAGCAGCATCTGGCACTCCGTTGGTGTACTCAAGCAATAACCCAGGAGACAAAGAATACCAACCATATAACAAGTATGGTAGAGGTTACTGGATTGCAGAGCTGATGATGGATTGCTCGAAGACCGAAAATGGATGGTTTGAACTGAAGGTTAGCTGTTGTCATCCGAAGTATCTGTCCGATGTCTACCTTTTAGGGTTTCTTGACCCCGAACAATCAGTGGGAGAATGATATCCACCAGGGCAGCTGTGGTGGTACCGTTGGAGGCGCAGCACCATTCCAGAGTATCAATCACATTGCGAAATGTGGAGCTGTTAACGTTTTCATCTGGGGCAATAGCGGATGCACCATTGATCAAGTTTGAAGCACGTGCAGTAAAATAAAGTTTTGCAACTTATTTTCTCTCCTTTGCTTTAATGGATATCTTTGGGGGGGGGGCTGGGGGGGGGGGGGAACGAGAGCATAGTGGTATGAGGCGCCGCTATGAGCAATTACCCTAATTTCACGAGTACAAGACGCACCTTTTTCGATTTTTTAAGCGAGCTGCCCAGCCACCTCATTGTGTTTCAAATGAAACTTATGCCGCATATTTATTCTCAGGCAATACGCAGCACTGTATAGTGTCTTTGGTCGCAAAGTTGTTCAGGCTGGTCAAATCTAAAAAAAAACAGGTCCCCTGTAGTGTAATTAAGGTAGTCCTTGTCATCAACGATTGTCGTGCATGTGTGCCCCGCATGCTGGGATTTTGCGCGAAGGAAAAGCGGAAAATTAACGTCAAAAAAGTTTTGAGAAAGAGAAAAGTGAGATGAAATATCATAAAAGCTTATTCAAAAACTTAGAGAAGTGATAGCCCTGACTTACTGGAGCTACTACCTCTCTAAGTTTAGATAAGCATCTAAACAAAGCGGTCAGCAAATGATGCTGCAGACGTAACGACCCGCTGATTGAACAGGAAGGCACTCCTGTGATAAAGTGCATATAGCGACCCGCGCATCCAGGCGCGCGAGACATTTGGCTAAGGCCCGTATGTACGTACATCCCCGCGGGGAGGAAATGTGCGTTTTACCATTGAAATGAGCCCCGCTGGGGCTCCCCTCCCCTCCCCAGGCGAACCCTCGTATGCACGCAGACATTATCGGCGAAGGGATCCCCTGGGAATAGGGGAGGGGAACCCTCTTATGCACAAGGGGATCGAGCGAAGACATCACTTTTCTTTCTCTTTTCTATGGTAACTTTCTTTTGTATTCTCATCTTTTGACAGCTGCTTATCTTCAGTTTTTATCGGCAAATAATATAGGCGTTGCAGAATGCGCGTCTGCCGTTATGCGCTTGGCACAGTCAAAATAGTATTTTCTAGGCCCTGCATAGTCCTGTAATTTTCATGGATGCTTTTCACTTGCACTCACGCTGCCTATTTTAGCGTAATTATGTACAACAATAAAAGTCCAGATGTCTCTGCAGAAAACGGGGTAGAAGACTTTATGCTGCCGAAAAAAAGCGGGAGGGGGGTACACACTCTAACCAGCATTTCTACGCATAACAGAAGCTGCAAATTGTGCCAGCTCTCCATAAACGCTGTAGCTATCAGCTGCATATTGTCCTTTACCCCAGGGAATGATCCCCAGTGGCCATCCTGCTATGCACAAGGGGAACGCTTGGGAGCGGATCACTCCTTCGAAGATCTTTACTCACAAACACGAAAGTCTGCTAATTTTAATTTTTTTAAAGCAGTTTTACGTTAGAATAACAAGATAAAGAATTTATTACATAATGTATACTTACAGTATGTTGTACGAGCTTCAATGGATAAAACTATCATGTCGAACAGAAAATGCACAACTCTCGTAAATGGTCACAAACTTCTACAGATATTCGAAACTGGCAGAAACCGGATTTTCACGAAATGCGAATATAGAAGAGAGAGAGACAAAGCTGCAAGCTACAGGTCGCTCAGAGAGGAACCCGACTACCATGG